ACTTGCGCTCTGATTAAACACTAACATGAAACCATGAATTAAGATATTAGAGTTTAAAACTGTAAGTACTACAGATTGCTTCATAGAGCGTGTTGCTCCGTGAACGTGCGATTACTTATTTATTCTAAATGGAGCGTGCAACGTTAATGTATATTTATTTTCCTTAGTTTATATCAAATTGCATCGCATCACATTATATATTAATTTCCATCTGAAATTCTATTTACTTTGGCAGATGGAAACGTCTCTTTCATTTTCAATTAGATGTTCGTTTCTATGGTCTGACAAAATATAAAATTATAAATAGTGTACTGAAACTTTGGCTGTTACGCAATATTTAGCGATCGGATTAGGATTTACCTGATTTCCACCTGAATCTTTAAGAAAAAAGTCTTAACGGATGAGATTTATCGAAGCACGCCTTTAACCCCATAAACTTTTAACGCACTTTCCAGACTTGGTACTTCCGGGATAAATACACTTCGATTCTCACCGGAATTTTTATAAGCTAAAACAAACGTGCTCTGGTAACGTAGACCACCGACGAATATTTTTTTCCATATTATACTTTCAAGTTACGATTTCCATATGAGAGAGCCGTCGAGTTTACGCCTGGATTGCAGAGGCGCGACGATCCCGCCGGCAATAAAACCAGACTCTCGTTGCCTACATAATTTATCCGATGCTGTGCAAGGACTCCTAATATTCATCCCGTATGCGACAGCCATTGTTCTTTGTTATGCGAAATCAATTTAACGCGCTGCTCGAAGGTCGAGTATCGCCCCAACCCCCTCCGCTAGTTAATTATTTATCGATCGATTTCATAAGAAGGTGAAATAGCACAGCAGTGTAGTACAGATAAATCAAATCACAATCATCCATTAGGAAAAGAGATACATTTCAACAAATTCGTTCTAATCCCTTGCAACTTGGAACAAAATACTGCGAATAAAAATATCGTAACAATTGTTGTGTTATCTTAAAGATTATATAGTTTTCTCATGTATCCGTCTTCTTAATCTTGACAGTTTCACGTCGTCGAGATAAAACTTGTGATAAATATGAAGAAAAAGGTTGGTGCGGAAATCCCTTTTCCGCGAGAACAAGTCGCCTGTTGTAATGTGAAATATCGTAGGGACATTTTTTCGCATCGCGATGTCAAACGATTGAGCACCCTGTCTTTCTTGTGCACGAAAATAAGGGAGCGAAATAATATGTCGAGTTGGCGACAGTTCAATGTCCTCATATCCACAAACTGCTTGGTTCTGTTTTCATATACATATACATACGTACAATATTTTCTCCTTTATACCGTCACCCCTCTGTCCATACTTGTATGTACCTCCATGTCGCTAGGCAGGGTTGCAAAATGTGTGTACAGCTAATGCCACGACTCATCCATCATCTCGTCATCCGACGGGATGCATAGGATGTATCAATGGGTTAGTCCAAAACTAATATAAAAATAGCATCGTAGTTGTTACATAAAATAGTACGCAAAGGAAATCTTTTAGTAATTATTGAAAAAGTATAAATTTAATAAACAACATTAAGCGAAATAAGCCGAGAAGGATTTAAGCACAAATAGAAGAAAAGAAGATATTTTTCGATCAAAGTGAGTCTTAACTCATATTTCATACATTATTCTCCATTTAATTTAATTTCATATTTTCTTCGAAGCGATCAATCAATCGTTGACCAGACTTTCGTTTCAATGTGATTGTATTGCAAGTTGTAATTATTGACATAATATTATTTTGATTATTACTTCGAATTATGCAATACATATAGTAAATACATCTCGTACGTATAGAATCTATCTAATCTGAGAACAATTTGAATGTTTGGAGATATTAGATGCGACCCATTTGCTGCTCCAATTCCCATGAGATTAATCTAAGTGCAACGAACGTATGAACAACCTCTTCGCGCAACTTGAGGTTCGGCATAATCGATATTAGCAATTTCGAGCGGGTCGCATCCTAATCTTCAGCTCGTTACTTCTCCATCAACGTCGAGCGCTTAGCCCTTAAGAAGTTTCTGGTCCTCAGATAGAGAGTACACGAATATCCCGTACCGGTATTCACCGGGAGAAATAATCGCGCTCACGCCTTCGAAACCCATCAATATATATCTGTGACAACAATGTGAACCAATATATCTTTCAACGTATTTTTCCAACTGGGAGCCATCGTTCAGTTAAATAATCTTTGTTTTCTCTGTCCTTCTCCCCAGATACTGTCGCGCTGTGTCCACGTACTTCCAAGACGAGTCTTCAGCCGTCGTCGGATCGAACGCGGAGTATCGAGTGTATCAGCGAGAGTGGTTGAACGTGGAGTAGGCGAGAGCGCAGCAGCGGCACGTGAGACGAGTGTCGTCGCTCGAGACACTTGTTGCACGTCGGCCGTCCCTTAAAGAGGGTCTGTCGGCGTCAATATCGGGCCACCGGGTATATATCCCCGGTCGCGAAAGAGGTACCCGGACCCCCGTTCGTCATCGGTATCGCGGAGAAGCGAGAGTACGTAGAGTGTGCCGACACCGACGAGGGTTCCACTGGTGAACGCATCATCGGGCCGACCGTAATCGCGGCATGTCGCTCGACAGGACGGTCGCGGACGACCGCGTGGCGAGCGACGCGTGCCTCGTACGCCTATCGATCACCGTTCGCAAAAAGTGTACCACCACGATCGCGACGCACAGTGATCGTTAGCGTGTCGAGCGATCGGTGCCGGAAGCGACGTGTTCGACGGGCGTCACTTGGCATGCCGCCGATCGTCGTGCGACCCCCTTCGGTGGTCGGCCGTCGTCGCTGCTCTTCTTGTTGGTGCGTACGAACGCTTAAGCGGCTCGAATAACAATCGGTAGCGCGGAATCGAAGCACGATCAGAGCGGAGTGCGGTAGACGCGTGACCCGCGTGCCGGATCGAAATCGTGCCGAGGATCAAGAGAAAGCGATCATGTGCTACGCTCGGTGACACCGGTCGCGATCGTGCGCGGCGTTACCGTTGGCGGTACACGTAGTCAGCAGAGAGCAGAGCTACCACTGCGGGGCGGCATCACCACGTGGTAAGTACATTACATTGTACTGCGGAAAATAGTTAAAATAAAAAAAAAAGAGTAAATATAGATATTTTCAGTGCAGGGAAAAAATTGAAATATTAGACACAACGGATATTTATTCAAAGAATGCGCCTCTATAAAAAAATATTTGAAACAAGTATTTCGGCGCAGTATATGTATAATAATAATAGTAAATATGTGTTAATGTAAATAGCACATACTATTTGTCTCTTATATTTATTTCGCAAAATATTTATATTCCAAATAATATTTTACGTAAAATACTATTTCAAATAGTATTTTTCATAGGTTCTTTCTTTAAATAAATATTCGCTCTTGAATTTATTTCAATTTTTCCGCAGTATTACATATTGAATAAAGGGTGTTATCGCCCTTCTTTCTTATCTTTATCATCCAGCTTAAGTTCTTATGTATTGTGTGAGAAACGACCTGGGGTTGAAGACCTTTCACATCTGAACTTTAATCACAATAATCTCTCCGAAGATCATCGTTGTACTTTATTTCCATACGCAAAAATCATTTAACATAAAAACAGCGGACTATTAGTGTACTAAAATATTTTATTAAATTTTTTGTTCCGATTATATATAACTTTTACGTTTTTATTCCCATTTTTTTCTGACAATGAATTATAACAATTTTAAACATTTTTATCGACATGCGAAATATTTCATACGATATATATATTTTTTTTTCTTTGAAGATACATGAACGTGAAGATAAAAGGCAATCTATCATGTATTATCAAAGTTATCACATTCTTTTAAGCACAACGCTTTGCTTCTTTCTAGTCAAAATCGATAAGATGAAAAGGTAGAGACTAAAGGAGATGTATGTGTCTGACTGATCATTTATCACAAATGTCTGTCAGAGCTAAAAATGGCCAAATTTTTATTCTGCACAAAGCCGAACTATTACGTAGCTTCAGGCAAACCGGTGAATTTTAATCTCGTGTGAGTGATTTGTTTCTCGAAACCATCATTCACACTCTGTTTGGCACGACAAGTAGATATAGCCTCGTATGATCAGACGGAACCACTCAATAGTCTGTTTATTGCAATTTAGACCGTTTATCGACTGTGTGATTATTGTATATGTTATCATATAGTTAATTCGTTTGTATTAAATTGCTGCATAAATTCTGTCCAGTATTTGAAAAAAATTGTGAAAATGTAGATTGACTTTAATATCTCGGTTTAACTTATTTTTATCTCTTTCTAATTCTGAGAATCAGAACGAGATAAAAAGTAAATTAAATTGTGATTAAAATTAATATTACATCGATAGAGAATCGGGCCTAAAAGAAGCGAATAAATTACTATAAAAATAATGGGAGTGACGATAATATTTTACCTATATAAAAGATATAATTATTAAAAAATTTCAAAATTCTATTTTTTACACAAAAAGTATAATATTAATATAAAATAGGAACGGTCAATAATGACCGCTCGGTACTTTTAATGTGGAAATCCGTGTGCACGTTAATACAGTCGAAATACAATAGATAATAAAATATAAAATTCATTCTTCGCGAATTTCAGTTCAGTATTACAATATTATAGTATAAAATAATATAATTTAATAAAATAGATACATTTACATACAAAGAATGTCCCCGTTTCAACGTTTGCAAAATTCCTTGCTACAGACATTGAAAAAGAAATCTAAGAAAATACAAAGAAAAAACGACACCCTATCACGGATCTCGCTGACGATACAATACGATCTGAAATACACGATGTCTGGGAAATCCTGTTCTCACTAGCGGGCGCAACTTACGCAGCAATTTAATACCGTCACAGCCGAGCGATTACAAGGGCGCGATTTTTTAGGTGGATATCCCCGGGCGTGTACTCGGGCGGTTTTGGCTAGGACAAGAGGAAACGAAGACCGGAAGGCTGGATCACCTCCGTGGAATGTCTTCAGGCGCCAAGCGACTGGTGCAGTCGCTTAGGGGCCGGACCGGGGGCAGGGGCACCGGCGGCGGTCGTTCCGACGCCGGTGCCGGGGACGACGGCGGCGTCGGGGGTGGCGGGGCCAGCACCAGCGCGACGAGACTGTGCCATTACGACAGCGGGCATGAGCTCGACGAGATCTCGGTGATCGGGGCTACCGTTAGGGACAACGAGGGGCTGACGACGCCCACCACGCCGTGTCACTGCAGGAGTATCAAGTACGGTAGTGGACAGACGCTTTGCAGCATCGCCGGACTGCCGCCCGCCCCCGCCATACCCGCGCACAGAGCACAGTCCGGTGAGTTTGGACCACCACCATCTTTTCAGCTTTTATCGTCGGTATAGTCTCGCGTCGCAAATCATCGCGTATTGTGTTTTGTACAGACACGCACATACATCCACGCTAATGAAAAGAGCATTGTAAGAAACTTTAACTTGTCTACGAAAATAACTTCCTTTTTGAAACACTGTATCGCTTACAGTTACGACAAAATATTAAATAACCGCAAATAACTGTGATCACATTTGTAATATTTTCTTGAAGCTAATAAAATAGCATTATAATATTCGGAAATAAATTCTGAAGATGTTAAAAAATGTTGCAATATTTTCATTGACGTCATTAAGTTTTTAAACAAAGTAAGCGAACTTTAAATCTAGATATCTCAGTTATTAAAATTAACAGTGTCTTCTTAAAGTGAGATCCTTCCTTAAAGTAAACAGAATTATAAGTTGGAAATTCCTACCGATTGGTTTTTTCATTATATAACTGCAGTATATATAAAAATGTAGAACTTGTACATTTTTTTTTAATTTAAATAAGTACAATATTGTGATAGTTTTTCATTATTTTGTTTGATTAAATTATTCAAAATATCTCTGTGTGTGTATTTTTAATCACACACTCATGGCAGCTTCTGTTTCTTTTAGAACAATCCATATAGATTCATGCACATCTATCTGTATTACGATACCGTTTGTCATTGTCTCCATAAATGAATTCAAAAAAATGTTAGCAATAAATCGCAAGTGGTAACACATTGTCGAGAACGAAAAAAAGGCACATTATTTACTGATTACGAGTTTAAATCGTGTTTCATTTATCTTCTTTCAAATTTCTCAAAAATGCACACGAGATTTATGAACTAACCTCGTATGTCGCGTAACTTTGGACTTTATTCCGAAAGTCATATTTCGTATGACTGGGGGTATAAAGTTCAAAGTTATGCGAATATAGACTATAATATAAGGCTACCCATTTTCGATTCAGTAAGTTGGATAGCCTTTCGTTGCAAGACAGCATAGTTGTCGACTGCAGCGATGCAGTAACGTAGAATTATGTAACGACGCGCGTAGAATGGTTGCAAGCGGCAGAAAAAAAAATGAAATGCAGACAAGCTGACCGCGGGAACCATTGATTTTTATTATTGCGCGTATTCTCTCGCGCCTTCGGACAATCACGAAGTCGCTGTTGATTCGCTCGTTGTGCACACCATCGTTCTCAACACTGCGGTCCACTGTCTGCAACGAAGTATTTATTGACACAATGCAAAACATATTCACCATTCATGTTTCGTTAGCGCGAAGTCATAAACTAGACCGGAATATTTCGCAAAACGTAGTGCTCTTCGCACATAACTTATCGCGCTCCATAAACAGTCATAAATTCTCGTTCGCGTCCGTAAGAAGCGGGATTTTTACTTAGGAAACGTGCCTCTCTCTCTCTCTCTCTGCTTAGCCTCGCTAGCACTTTTTTAATCTCTTCGCTTTGCGAAAGGCCGCGTCGCGCCGCCGGCGCCGTTGCGCTGGTCGGTCTTTTCTCGAACTTTTCCTCTCGAGCGGAATATACAATTCTACCTGCTTCTTGGCGGTCTTTATCACGATCTCACGTTGATAATTTCAACCGACGGAATATCTGTGCCAGGACTCTCGCATCACACGTGTGATTGCGAAGGTATGTTATTGTGTATATCGTGATGTTCAGAGAAGGAAAATGCATGCCGCGTTTTCGCTGACAATCTAACAAAATTGCGTCTCTTCAACTAGAGATTAGACTATTAATAAAATATTAACTCTTAATCTACAATATTTTACTCCTTTCATTTGCTATCTATCTTTTCCTGTCGAGCTCAACGCTTTTTATTGTTCCAGACTTCCAAACAAAATTCAAGGTTACTTTTATAACATCTCTATTTTACATTTCCAAATAGTCTATTAAGTCAAATGCTAAAATCTTTATTTAATAAAAATTGAAATTTGAGAATGAAGTTTCGCTTGTGCAAAAAAAGATCTCTCTTGTAGACGGAGAGTTAAGTATAATATATTTTCTGCCTTATTGTCATACACATATATAATTAAGCTTTGTTCAAGACGAACGAGATATTTAAACGAAATGCAGAAAAATCGCAATAAAATACGTTTCCGCCAGTCTTTTCAACCGTATTAATCTCTTCTATTTGCTACGCGTAATACCTGATCTGACAGAACGCGAATGTTAATAATTGTTTGTTGATATCCGCTGAATAATCGATTGTGTATTTATTTCCTTTTATTTACATATAATATTTAAAAATTAAGCATTTACATGTTATATAAACACGAGAAAAAGGAGTTGGAAATTAAAAGCATGGAAATTAAAAGCATATACATACATATGCACAAAGAAAATATATCAAATTATTACAAATGAAAATTTACGTGTATTGTCATAACGCTACACCAAAAGTTACTTAAAGCATAAATTCAGGGAAATGAAAATATATATAATTGTTACTTGCATGCCTGTCAGTGTAAAGAACAAAAAGTCCTTTGTTAATTACACTCTTAGAACATTAAAGTCTTATTAGGTCCTTAAGACTAAATGGATCGGAAAAGCAGCGCGTTTCAGAATTTTACGTAAATCTTACGACGCAGCTAGAAGGGTTTCGATCAACTTTGATGCCATTAGGAGGAATAGCTGCTACTGTCTTTCGAGGAGCTTAATGCGCGCTTTGACTTATCGTCAGAATAAGAGCCACCTAAGAGGCTGTAGTTCGAAATTCGCTCTTAAACTGTAAGATTAAAGTACAAATTCGGTCGAAGGTGCTTTAAAGTATTAATGATGATCGCGTCTATTATCTGGTAGTCATGGTGATGGAAGAGAAAGAGGTAATTTTCGTAATATTCCTTGCAGAATATTACGGACCTCGATATAAAATTAAGATTGCCATTAAACGATCACGACGGTAATGTAATCCGAGCGATTGTTGTAGATTTCGGCGCAATATCTTCGACCGTAAACGCGAGAAGCTTTATGTCTCCCTTTGAGTTCCGTTACGCCAATGATGGCACGACGGAGACCGATAATACTAATCCGCTAATCGACAGTCGTTGGTCCTGGCATCAGCAGCAGTTGCCGATGGTATCGCGGGAAATTTACGAGCAACGGATTCCGATAATGGTCGATCCGATTCGTAGACATCTCGATTCTCTTGACCTAATTACGGATATATATGCGAAAGATTGATAAAAACCGCTACTGGCGAAAAACACTTTTTCGATCGGCCTTTGTTGAGCGAAACATCGCGTGCAGATCCCGAGAGCAAAAAAAAAAAGAAATCGAAACACAGCTTGAGTTGTTGGCTGACACCGTCAGAGACGTGAGCTTTAAATTATCGCGAAGAACATTCAAGTTAAAGTGCCTATCGAAGAGCGTAGATATCTCCATATGTCGATACCGTAATATTTTAACCGAGATAGGAGAAAATGGAAAACTCGATCCATTAGCTTTAACTTCACTGGTATCATAGATATTTCTGTCACATTTAAATTACGCGTTTCATTTAAAAAGTGTTTTGTCCGAAGATTTCTGTAAATTACAAAATCCTTTGTCAAACAATTTGATAAAAATTTGATTTGTACAATATTTGTAATATTTTATTGCTCCAAATAAATCTTTTATGAAATTTTTAACATACTTGTTAAATTTATAATGTAAAATTATATTCAATTTGTGTTATTTTTAATCATTTCTATAAGTCGCCACTGATGAATTTCTTTTTAATATATCTTTATTTAATTAAAATAATGGAGTAAATAATTTAACTTAAGAAATGTATTAAAATTGATTTAAAGTTAGTTTATTATTCACTAAGTGCATATATTAATATATTTGTTTATTTTAAAATTAAATAATTCCATCACAAATAAATTGATTTACATTTTGTGACACACGTATGGAAGTTGAAAATAGAAATATTATTTAATTCACAACAAATCGGAAAAAGTAAATAAAGAAATTCAAGACTAATAAAAGTACAGTGCGGTTAATGATATCATAAGCTTTTTTTACTTTACGAGAAGAATAATGTCATCTTTACTCCAACTTCATTTCCGATTTTCCTTAGACCTCTCTTGAGCAATACAGATATAAAGATTTCGCAAGTTAGTTCAACAGTCCATTAAAAATAAATCACTCATAGATTTTCAAACGAAGCGATATCCAATAAATTATGTAGTAAATATGAATATTAAAAGATTGAGTTATTAAGGGATTGAATTGCGATTGCTCTTTTGACATCTAACAGTATATTACTTCGTAAAGAAATATTTTCTTCAAACTGAGAAACTGCTTTCCGCGAAAACGCCAAAATTGATTGACAGAGTATACAATCCACCGAATATAACTCCGTTTTATAGAAATATAAGACGATAAGAGATAGGAAGTTGCTAACGCCAGGTTAATTAACTTGAAAGTTGCCGGAGCAACTTACTACAACAACGGAGTACATTCTCCATTGTGTGATGGAGCTTTTTTCTGATCCTCTAACTTTTCTCCCTGTGTTAGAACGTCGTTCAAACTGCGCGTGTCGCGCGATACCGGCTCGTATCCGAAAATCTCGCCCGCTCGACAAGAAAACGGAGCAAGTTCGTCGCGGAAGTTCACATGGACGGACGTCAACGCTGCTGGAGAAGAAGATGCGCGGGAAGTCTTCTTTCCGTCTGCTCGAACAAGGAACCCGATCGGATGCAGTGCACGCGACCGCCACGTGCATACGCGCGCTTGCACGAAAATCGCAGTCAGCAACAACTCCCGGAGTTATGTGTTTGCGACGTGTCTACCGGTAAATAGGCGAGCAAGTTTCGAAACCCGTTTCAATGTAGTTTCGCAGACACAGGAGCGGTATTGCGTCGACGATGTTAAGCTGGCCCACCTACGGATATCGCTATTCACTTCGCGGTTGGTCGCTTCACCGCCGGGAACGGCTGTCCGTTTCGGTTGGTATACGCTACCCAAGAAGAACAATGAATTCGAATCGAATAA